TAATGGAACATGATGAGTGCGTGTGCGCACACAACCTACAATAATTGCAGTAATGTTAATCTTATAACATTATTGTGAATGGTAAAACCATTGAGATCATAAATAGAATTGAACTGCTTTAAACTCTTTTAGAGAGGAGACTTTAGAGTGTTTCTAAATATCAATGGTCTAAGCAAACCATACTTGGTCTAAGCAAACCATAACCTTATAATTTTTTTTTAATGTTATTGATCATAAATTTTAATTATAGCTTACTATGAATTAGTGTTAGTATTGGTTTTAGTAACACAAAATAAAAAACAGTTTACATTTTGCTGTTCAATTGCATAATCTGGTCATGATTTCCTTAGAGCAGTCTATATTAAGGAACTCTATTATTGAAAAAAATGGTAGCGATGAGGTTTTTTAGTGTTTAGTGATGCTTTAAATGCTATATAGCTTGAAATGAAATGTTTGAATGATTTATAAGTTTGTTATACTTCAGTTTATATTTTTGAATTATGTGGTTCTGTTTCAAGCAATGATTTAACAGTGATTTGAGTAGATTGGTTGTTATGATTGTGTCAGGGTTGGGTTAGTTCATATTTTGTACTTTTCTAATATTTAATTATTTTTTTTAAGTAACAGTGATCATAAAGAAGCAGCAGGATATAAATCATCTTTTAATTTTAAAATAAAGTTATTTTTAAAATTGATGTTATTATACATACACCTGATTATTAATTTTACTGAAGTTTTTAAATAAAATATTAAGATATTTTTTATAAATGATATTATAAAATACATAATAACTTTATTTATACAGAGTTTATAACTCTGGAATAGTTTAACATATTTAATATAGGGTAAACTGGGGCAGGTTAGGCATAAAGGTAGGTTGGACCAGTCAAGTTTATTCAAAGACTATATTTTATGATTTTAATATATCAAAGTAAATTCTAAACAGTTTGTTTGTACCCAAACGGGGTACATTGACCATATGTTAAAATCAATCCTCAATAAATTTGTTAATTTTTTTTAGTTTTCTATAATAATTTTTTGTGTTTTGAAATTTTTTGAAAATAAAAAACAAACTTGAGGTAAATAATAAAATTTTTACATTTGTTTAATATTTAGATATCTTTTAATAGAGATTTTCTTACTAAGGCTCCAGCACAGAGGCAATTTTTACTAAGGCCCCAGCACAGAAGCAATTTTTACTAAGGCCACACAAATTTTAACTATGATTTTTTTAAAATTAAAATAATAATAGTACATTAAATATATAGAAATGCTATTAATACAATTAAGTTTTCTAATACTATTATAGATACATAATATAATTATGTATATAGATACATAATTATAATTATAGGTCAGGTCAGGTTTTCCTGCTACTGGTAACATGTAACCCAGTACAACCTGCTCCATGTCCTGCTGCCTAGTAGGATACGCTTTTTTAGGCAAAGGCTAGGAGAAGTTAACTCTGAATTAAAACACCCCCTGCCTTGGGGCTCTTGGTTGAGTAAAGGCTAGAGCTAGTGTCTCGATAAAAATACTCATCTTGGGCAGATGTTACATGCATCCAGCTGCTGTCTTGTAGAAGGCCTCCTAGGCAAAGACTTAAGGGGTAAACAGATTCTATCTGTTGACCAGCCTCGCACCCCTTCCTCATCTATTAGGCTGGCGCAGATGTATTTTTAATACATTGTTTCCAGTTTAGGATGTTGAACGCTGGATCTTCTTGACTCAATGCGTGGGTATTGCTTGTGTCTCTATTTTTATGACTGGGCAACTCATTCTATTATCTCCTAATGAGGGTACAGCTCTAAAACTCAGTTTTATGGTTCTGAGGCCGGCTGGTAGTCAGGTTTCCCGAACTCTGTGGTAGCTCTCAGAGAGGCTGATTCCATCAACAGCCGAAAAATATCAGAGTACTAACAGTGCCATGTTGCGCATGGATGGTGTCCCTGTTTGTACTTTTGGTGTGCATTGCAGAGGCCACATTTGGAGCCCTTTGTTACGGCTTAGGGTTTATTAATAGTAATGAGGCTATTGCTTAGTTGTTAAATAGTGTACTGAGTACTATCTATACTTGAGTCAAGTTCTTTATAAATTTAAAATGACTAAAGTACCTAAAACTAAAAAACACAAAAAACCATTGTCATCACCAAGTTCTCTAAACCTATCATTTACTAATATTCGTGGTCTTTGAAGTAACTTTTCTTCTGTTGAGTCTTATCTCTTGCAAAGTTCACCAGACCTACTTGCTCTTTGTGAGACTAATTTGAGTTCGGCTGTCCCATCTTGTGATCTTAGTGTTGATGGTTATCTTCCTTTAATTCGTAAAGACTCCAATAATCACATGCTTGGCCTGGGCATCTACATTAGTAAGAACTCACCCATTTGTCGTGAAACTAGGTTTGAATCTACAGACTATTCATTTATGTGCTTTCGTTTAGCACAACTTCACTCTATCGCCTTTCTCTTTGTTCTATATCGCTCTCCTTCATCCCAAGATTGCACTATTCTTGATGTTATTTCTGATCAAATTGACCAAGCCCTCTCTCTTTATCCATCGGCCAATATCGTCGTTGTTGGTGACTTTAATGCCCATCACACCGATTGGCTTGGCTCTAGTGTCAGTGACTCTGCTGACGTTAAGGCCCTCAACTTTTGCCTTTCTCAATCTCTAACTCAAATAGTCAACTTTCCAACTCGTTTTCCAGACAACCCTAATCATTTACCTTCTCTACTCGACTTATGTCTTGTTTTGGATCCTAGTCAGTGCTCAATTTCTCCACATTCACCCTTAGGTACTTCTGATCACGGTTTGATCTCTCTAAAACTATTATCAAATTCTTCTACTTCATCAGAATCCCCCTATCATCGTAGCACATACAACTACCTTAAAGCTGACTGGGACTCTTTCCGTGATTTTCTTCGTGATGGCCTTTGGGTAGAAATCTTTCGTCTTCCTGCTGACAAATGTGCTTTTTACATAACTTCGTGGATTCAGGCTGGCATGGAATCTTTTATTCCCTCTCGACGATTCCAGGTCAAGCCTCATTCTTCTTCTTGGTTTTCCTCACATTGCGCTGCAGCAATTTCTAATCGAAACCGTTACTTCCATATCTATCAGCAAAACAAATCTCCAGAAAACAGACATCTGTTCACTATCGCCAGAAACCATTGTAAAAAGGTTTTGTCTGACGCCAAAGCTCGCTATTCCCAGGTCATTAAATCTCGTATCTCATCACAAAAATTAGGCTTTCGAGACTTCTGGACAATCTTTAACAGTATCAATAATAAGGGCAAATCTGTTATTCCTTCTCTCTTGTATGGTTCAGACTTTGTCACCTCACCTAAAGACAAAGCTGAATTGTTTGCTAAGAACTTTTCATCAATATCATCTCTTGATTCCACTAGTTGCGTTTTACCTGACATAGCCGTCAAACAGGTTGATCCCTTGCTTGACATTCGCATCACTTCAGCTTCTGTATCTAAAGTAATTTCCTGCTTAGATTCTTCAACAGCTTGTGGTCCTGACAACATTCCTGTTGTAGTCTTGCAGAGGTGTTCTCCGGAGCTTTCATCCATACTTTCTAAACTATTTAACAAGTGCTTATCAGAGTCTTGTTTTCCATCATGCTGGAAAGCAGCATCTGTTATCACTATTTTCAAAAATTCCGGAGAACGATCTGATTCATCTAACTACCGTCCCATTAGTCTTCTTCCTGTCATAAGCAAGGTTTTTGAATCTTTAATCAACAAACACTTAATCTCTCATCTTGAATCAAATAACTTACTTTCTGATCATCAATATGGATTTCGGTCTTCTCGTTCTACAGCTGATGTGCTAACAGTAATAACCGATAGGTTTTACCGTGCATTAGATAGTGGTGGAGAGGTTAAGGCTATTGCACTTGACATTTCTAAAGCTTTTGATAAAGTTTGGCATGCTGGTCTTCTCCATAAGCTTTCTTTTTATGGTGTAGCTGGTAACGTCTTTAAGATTATTGAGTCCTTTCTTTCCAATCGTAGTATAAAAGTTGTCCTCGATGGACAACACTCTTCTTTATATCCTGTAACTTCAGGGGTTCCTCAAGGTTCAATCCTTGGCCCTATACTCTTTTTAATTTACATTAACGATCTTCCAGATATTCTCACATCTAAGGCGGCGTTATTCGCTGACGACACTACCATTTACTCTTGTCATGATAAGAAGCCTACACTCTCTGATTGCTTAGAGGGGGTATCTGAGCTTGAAAAGGATCTCACTTCTGCTACAGCATGGGGCTCACAGTGGCTGGTGAACTTTAATTCAGATAAAACTCAATTTTATTCGGCCAATTGTTATCGTAATAATTTAGATCTTCCTATATTTATGAATGGTAATGTACTAGATGAGTCATCTACCATTCATCTTCTAGGATTAACTCTTACTTCTGATCTTTCTTTTAAACCGTATATCAAATCCATTGCAAAGTTAGCATCTGCTAAGGTTGCATCTCTTTATCGAGCTCGACACTTTCTTACTCCAGATTCTATTCTCTATCTCTATAAATCTCAAATCTGTCCCTGTATGAAATACTGTTGCCACATCTGGGGCGGATCTTCTAATGATGCTCTTTCTCTTTTAGACAAGGTGCAAAAACAAATTGTAAACATAGTTGGACCTGCTCTGGCAGCCAATCTCCAACCTTTGTCACATCGTCGTAATGTTGCTTCTCTTTCTCTTTTCTACAAATACTATAATGGGCACTGCTCTAAAGAGCTAGCGTCCCTTGTGCCATCTACTAAAATTCATTCTCGTGTTACTCGCCATTCAATTAAGTCTCATCCTTTTTCTGTGACTGTTCCTAAGTGCTTCAAAAACTCTTATTCTTCTAGTTTTTTTCCTCGAACATTAGTTCTTTAGAATTCGCTTCCTTCATCTTGCTTTCCTGATTCATATAATTTGCAATCTTTTAAGTCATCAGTCAATCGTTATCTTGCTCTACAGATTTAGTCTTTTCTCTTCCAGAAACTTCCAACTCTTATAGTGGTTGCTTGCAGCCTTGTTGGAAGTGAAGATGTTAAAAAAAAAAAAAAAAAAAAATTGTGTAATAAGTATTTTAATGCAGGCCACTATGTACCTTCGTGTGTACATAGGTGTTACAAGCAAACTTTTTGCTGATATGAGATCCTTGTATGATAAGGATTTGAAAAATGACAGGTGTTTTTTTTAGCAAATTAAATTTTTTTATGCAAATCAAAAGAGCATAAATCAGGTATTCAAAATAATATAAAAAACATATGTTTAAAGTTTTTACTTAAAAATATACAGGGGTAAATATGTTTTTATTATACCGGGGGTAAACCGCTGCTTTGTGACTTTTAATAATTTTTAAAATACTTTCTTGAACGCCGATTTTATATTTTTTTTAATTTGTTTTTTATTATAATTTAAGAAATATTAGTTATTATAAAGTTTATATTGTTTAAAACATGTTTTAGACAAAAATCATTTTTTTTGACCTCCGGATTTTTACAACATTATACCTGTTTTGATGAAATAGAATATTTCATACTTAACGATTGTATTATTTTAAATGTTTTGATAATGTTATTTTATTTTTACATATATCTACTTATAAGAATGCAACAATTCGAATGATTTGTTTTTGTTTTTAGCTTTTAAAAACGTTTCTATACTGTGTTGTTGCTGTTTTACATATTAAATGTTATTAACAAAAGGAGGACGAAGAAAAAAAAAAAAAAAAAAGAAAACTTATTTTTGACTTTACTAAATGCATTGTTTGCCAGGAGGATGATTTAAAAAAAAAGTATTTCTGTTTATTTGATTTAGATATTATTTCCTATATATACGCAAATAAATAAAAAAAATATAAATCTTATAATATATATGTAAAAATATAAACATATGTTTACATCTCTTATCCTTTAAAAATAGGATTTGGTGCATTTTGGATATGTTCTTTAAGCAGTTTTTAAAAGTGTCTCCTAGTAATTACTAAATTTATTTTCAGATTGGAAAAAACAGTTTGCGTGACGCTTTGGAAAAACTAATGGTATGTTTAAGGCAAAGGTACTCCTATCATGACCCAGAGGCAATTGTTACCAAAAGTTAAGAGAAATACCACGCGAGGAACTAGATGAAAAAGGTGTTTATCACTCAGAATATTACAAAATGTTCACCCATCAAAAATGTTTGCAACGTTTGCTTGAACAACACAGTATATTTATTGCAAGCAATTCTGAAACTTCATAGTAGACATAGATATTCAAATCAAATGTCAAAAGGTAAAGGAAAATTGCTCCGTTCAAAATCTCAAGTCTACAACAATGAACTTTGTATGATTTGCCAATGTGAAGGCTGGGAACTTCGAAAAGTTAAGTTTACAAAGACTGGTAAAAAAAAGTTAAAAGTTTTCCAATCACTTAATGATTTCTTTTTAAGAATTCTTCCTAAGAATGAATACTATTCCAAAGTCTGATGACGCCGTTGCAAATGATGTTAAATACCACCTAAAATGTTGGGTAACAGTGCAGAGATCTGTTAAATTGATAACAACTCAAGAAGAAATTCAAGAATTGGATGATATTGGAAGGGTTATCACAGATGTAGAAATCATTGGTTTAGTCCATTTGAACTTAAAAGAAGATGGTTTTGCTATGGATATGAGCAACATCAATAAAACTTACAATAACTTAATTGGGAATAATGACCAGATTGAGGTTAATTATAAACGTTAGTTAAAGAAACTTCTACAAGGTAACGTGCCAAGAATAGTTTTTTCAAGACCTCCGTGCCGTAGAAATTTCGAACAGCTTTGCTCTAGCTAAAGCGGTAGATAACTTTAAAAACAATCCGGATGATTAAACAACAATTTTCGAGACAGCAAAAATAATTCGGAAAGAAATCCTGCAGAAAAGAAAATTGAAGTTTGACAAAAATTACACTGATTTTGATACTCCGATGTCATTATTTTCTTTGCTGAGGTAGGTTATACTTAGACCAAAATAAAATGTAGACTCGTGTTATGTTGGAAAAAAAATCCATCGATAGCAGTGTTGATAACATTTTGTAAATTATTGTAAAGGCATCAAAAAGCAATAAGCAAGTCTTACATTACTCAAAAACGGATATTGATTTCAGAGATGTTAGTAAAACGCCTTTCTAAGTTGGCCTCGGATTACATGTGCATAAAGAAACCTGTAGTAAGAAGCTGGTGAACTGCTTGGCATATCTTGGACTTTCTATTTTCTATGATAGTGTTATAAAGATCGAAAATGGTTTCGGAAACGCTGTTATTGAGAACATATCAACAAATCAATGTGCATTTGTACCTCCTAATATTCAAATAGGAATGCCATTGCACTTTGCTATTAATAATATTGACTTTAAGAACAACACTGCTGACGGAAAATCTAAATTTCATGGAACCAAATATGTTGCATTTTAAAGTAATTCAAATGCTGAAGGAAATATGCTCAAGATACAGCATACAAAGTATCTTACATTTGCACATGCACCTGTCTTTATAACGCATAGTTGTGCTATACCAAACCCACCCAATGAAATCTTTCAAGGTTTTGAGTCTCCACATTCGTTGGTCAATCTTTCTTCATTTTGCACCATTGATCGAATTTGGGCTTTTTTTAATGTGATTGACAAGGAATTTAAATTACCATCATAGAGTTCTTTTAACTCCTTTTTTTCGGATGCTCCTACATCTAAAGTAACACAGGTTCTACCGATACATGGTACACTGACTGATTAGAGCAACCTTTTTATTGCATTAAAGCTTGTTCAGAGAATTAACTTTGCCGTCACAGGAAGTAAAAAAACAATCGTGACACTTGATCTTCAACTCTATATGGTTGGGAACTAAACAATGGATCTTTTGACCCCATAATGACTGATAACCTGCCAGCACCAATAGCACTTATCAAGTTGAGCCTCTGTCGTTGTAAAGGAGACTGTAGTAATAAAGGTACACATTTTTGAAAAATAAACTTGTCTGTACTGATATGTGCAAGTTTAAAGGATGTAGTAATAATAATGTAGAGGACCAAAAGAAAAACTATGACTATGAATGTAGAGATTTATAAGACGCAATTTAATTTATTCGTATTATTAAATACCAGTTTGTAAGCACGTTAATTTTAACAGTTAATTTTAATTTTGAGTTTAAGAATGAAATCTTAGAAAATTTGAAGCTTTTCATTCAATAAATGTCTTTAATTCCATTTATATTACAAGGTTAATTTACCTAATACTGTCAATTAAATATTTTTCGGTTTTTTTTTTTACGCTTCATTAATTTTTTTCTTTTTATTGTGAATTGTAAATACTGTTTTGGTTTACATATGATATTGTTTATATGTTTATACAATGCCGATATAAATATATATACCAGCCTAATTATTTCAGTTTTAATTTATTTAATATATTATCTAGTGGTAATTTTTATAAATGACCCCTGGTTTGGTAACTTACATAACGTCTTATACCTTATGAAGTAAAAATATTCAACATATGTTTTCTATATGATTTTGAAAGCTTATTTAAAGCTCTTTCTAATGGTATAAAACGTTTCGAAAATAACGATTAAATTTTTTTTTTTTTCTATGAAGGCCTATTACGTCATACCACGTGATACAAACCATAAATATTAGGTGACACCTGTCACTTTTTAAATCCTTTTCTTACAAGGATCTCATATCAACAAAAAGTTTGTTTGTAACACGTATGTGCACACTAAGAGTATTTTTGAAACATAGTGACCTGCGCTATTATTGTTTATAGTTTATTGCATTTTTTTTCAAATGCATTAAACTGTAGTTTAACTTTTAAGTTTTTTATCTTGAAATTATTTAATAAGTTTATTAAAGCATAATGATGTCGAGATGTCATAATGACCAGGGTCACAATGATGATTAAAGTTATAAACTTTATTAACAGGTCATTCGGTTGTACTGTACTTGAAATGTTAACAACAAAACCGCCATGGTCTCATTTACATTCTACGGCTGCTATATTTCACATTGGTATGCATCCAACTATTCCCCATTTGCCTGATAACTCCTCTAATTCGTGTAAAATATTTGTAAATGATTGTTTTCAACGGTAATCAGCAAACTAAATTTTAGTTTTTTAAAATTTTTTTAAACTTTACAAATAATGTTTGTCTTTTAATTGTTTTTTTTAATTCAAATATTTATTAATTTTTCTTTTTTTTTTTATGGACAAGAACATTATCTTAAATTTTGTTATAGTGACCCAAAATTACGACCAAATGTATTGCAGCTGTTGTCTTATGATTGGGTTAAAAGATGTGCATAAAAAGAAATTCGCAATTCAATGATGAAATTTGTTTCAGCAAAATTATCAACTGAATAGTAATCAATAACTTTTGCAAGTAAATATCGATACGTTTTGCAAGTTAATATCGGTGCTTAAGTAGTTATCGATACGTTTTACAAGTAAATATCAATTCTTAAATTGCTCGATAAAAATTATTTTTAAAAATTTTTAAAATAGATGTCTCTCGATGATATTTTTTAATATAATTGTATGTAATTCCTAGGGATATGTAATTACTTTTATTATTTTAATTATTAGGGATATGTAATAAAGGGATATGTAAAGGGATAATGTATAATTACTTTTAGTATTTTTTAATATATAATTATGATCGATTTTTTTTATAATCTTGTCTTAAAATTTGTTTGAACTTGACAAACAAAAAATATCATATTTTTATTGAGTGATTTCCATAAAAGATATCAGGAATTTCTTCCAAGTTTTTAGAGATTTTATAGAATTTATTGAGTTGCACAGTGGGCCAGGTGGTGGACAAAAGTAAAAAAAAAATACATTTTCAAAAATTACATTATTATATACCATTTTATAGCTTAAACATTCAGCTTTTATAAAATATATTTTTGTATAATTATCATGACGTATGTTTCTAAACTGTTGTGATTAATAAGCTTTTTTTTTTTTTAAAAAAATATTTCCAAATTTTTTTTAAATTTGAAAATATTTTTTGGGTTATTTATTAGCATGGAACGGATGTTAGTTTTAAAACCTTTCTTTTTATTACATAATTTAACAAGTTCAAGTATTATCTTTCAAATGAGCTATTACAACACTATTTAGCACTTAAGTGATATCAAATAAAATGATTTTAAATGACGGCGTATTAACTTAACAAATAATAACCTGTCTAATTTCAATAAGTACCTTTGAAAAAGGTATACATGGTGAAACTCTAAAATTTTGAAGAAACTAACAACCTATGACTACAAAATGAACCATAACAACAAAATGAACCAATTTGAATTATCTTATTATTAATTTGCAATTGAAAATAAGAAATTTCTACTGCTTCCATTGATTAAGAAAACTCTACTTTTATCCAACTGTCTGGCATGCCCCAAATGAATTTTAAAATGACCTACCTAAAGTATTTTAAAATGACCTACCTAAAGTATTTTAAAATGACCTACCTAAAGTATTTTAAAATGACCTACCTAAAGTATTTTAAAATGACCTACCTAAAGTATTTTAAAATGACCTACCTAAAGTATTTAAAAATGACCTACCTAAAGTATTTTAAAATGACCTACCTAAAGTATTTTAAAATGACCTACCTAAAGTATTTTAAAATGACCTACCTAAAGTATTTTAAAATGACCTACCTAAAGTATTTTAAAATGACCTACCTAAAGTATTTTAAAATGACCTACCTAAAGTATTTTAAAATGACCTACCTAAAGTATTTTAAAATACTTTTAAAATACTTTAGGTAGTTTAGCAAAGAAAAGAATATTGACACCATTAGTTGCATCATATTTATCTTAAAAACTATTGTTTGCATCAGGTTGTAAATTGCGCTATAAATTGGTCGTGAAAAAGAAGCTAAAGCTGTTTTAAAATTATCAAAATTAATAAATTAAATAAAATTATCAAAATATTGGGTTGTAACATAAGTTCGTAGAGTTTTTTATAAAGATTTATTTGAACAAAAAACAATAATTATAATAATAAATTAATCAATGATGTATTGTTCGTTACTGTTTACGACCTCCTCCCATCTCTCGACCAATTTGTTGATGCCGTTTTGCCAAAAATAGGTCGGTCTGGTGTCGAAGTTGTTGAGCCAGTTTTTAAGATCCTCTTCGTCATCAAAGGTAACAACCCTCATTTGGTTTGGTAGAGAGCGAAAAATCTGTTATTATATGTTGTTCGACAAATATTGAGTGCTCAATATTTGAGAAAAATAGGTTTCGCTTATCCCAATGTATACCTTATCTTTGTATTGAGGTTTATTTGAGCTTACGGTGGCTTGGTAAACGATGTTGTTAGACAAGCAATTGTTGTTCAGTGGACAAAGAGATTTTTTAATGCAACTTGCAGGGTTTTTCTAATAATTTTACATCACCATATAAAATATTTTTATTGTGTGAGTTGATAATAGATTTAATATTTGGCATCCAAGAGTAGCTTTTCTTAATTGTGTTAAATCTGTTAAATGTTTTGTGTAGGTTGTGGTCTTCAGGAAAATGCTTGCAATTAGGGTTAAAAAGCGTTGACCAATTTTGGTTGTAACATTTTTACTGAATGGGAGGTTGTACCAGATTATACTTCGTTTGTGGTAATTTTTTGGAACATTTATTATGCTTGGTTTATATGCCAACTTATAATCATATCCCGATTGTTTTAGTGCGTCTTCATAAAGATGTGTCGACTTATTAAAAATAACTTCACTTGATGAGTTAATGGGCAATCTTAGCTCGATATTTTTTGAAGATTGTTTATTATGTTAAGTGGATGGTTAGAATCAGCATGTACATAACTTAGCTTATTATCAGGCTTGCAGTATGGTTGGAATAAATTTTGAGTAAGATTAAAAGTTAGTTAACAATTTTAAGTTAAATCAAGTTAGTTAACAATTTTAAGATTACAATTGATAGAGATGTTGAGATTGTTACGTTTAAAAACTTGAATGACATGTTTTTTTATTTGTTCCATTTAATGGCTATTTTTGTTCTTGAAAACAGCAAACCCGTCATCCCGATATAGACCGAAATCATTTTTGTTGTAAAACTGCGAAAGTTGATCTAAATTCAAAATCCCGACTAGTTCGCAAACTTCCGCTCTATCATAGGCTCCCATGGTAACATCAAACAACCCTGCTTTTTTCTTAATCCATGATATGCTACCGTTAAAAATGAAAGATTTTCTTGCATGACGTATAATAAATTTGCTTTGCTCGTCTATTATATGTTGTTCGGCAAAAAGTTTATTTTTTTTAGTAAAATCAGAAAAAAAGAGTTTTAAATATATATTTTTAATTATATATATATATATATATATATATATATATATATATATATATATATATATATATATATATATATATATATATATATATATATATATATATATATATATATATGTATGTATGTATATATATATATATATATACATATATAATTAAAAACATAAAATAAAGTTAATGTATAACTTTTATTAAAAACTCTTGCTACTTCCACCATCAAGCGTTTATATTTTTGTTATTTTTTATAATATACTAGTTTTGATATTATACTATATATAATATATAGTATAAAATTAAAACTAGTATATTAGAAAAATAAATAAAATTTAGGCGCTTGCTGGTAAAAAGAGCTATAGTTTTAAACAGAAGGTATACATTAATTTAATTTTGAATTTTCTGCTTTCAAAAGTATGCGCAATTTTCCATTTTTATATCCATTCATTTTAATTTTCAAATGAGTGATTTATGTAAATGCGTGATTTACAAAAAAAAAATTTTAACGTCATGCATATATATAATTTTTTTTTAATTTTTGTTTTTATTTATACTGTGTTACCATTTTAAGGTATTGTTTTATAATTTATACTACTTTGGTTTATTAAATTTTAAAAGTCTTAGATAAGTTTTAATATAATCATCCCTAAATAGGTAGTAGTTTCATGAAATATAAAAAAAACCCTAGAAATGCATAAAAACACCTCAAATTAGTAATTGGATATGTGTTTAATTCTTTAAATGCATAAAATAATTTAATCAGACTGCTACATTAATATTAGTCTAGTTTCTTTTTAAAAAGTTACTTAAGCTAGTAACTTCGCAAAATGAACCGTTACCAGGCATTTCAGGTGTCATTATCAACCAAAAAAAAAAAATCCATACTACCACTACATTTGTAGTATAAAAATAATCAATGTGGTAACTATGGGAGTAATCCAATAAAATTATTACTTTTTTGTTTTGTTTATTTCAAAAACAAAACTATAAATTTTTGGCGACAAAACAAATAACACAGATTGATGTTCAATATGTAATGATATATTTTCTTGCAATCTGAGTTTTCGAGATCTAAACTTTTTTAGCCAAATAAAATATTAGTTTTATAAGACAATATTACTGAGTGAAATTATAAATTAACTCATATAAATGATTTAGAGATACAGAATAAGGGGGAAATTTAATTACCATACCCTGTTAAAGAGTTATCATACTGTCTTTTTACTATAAAAATTACAGAAGTTCTTTATATAAATAGTTTATAAAACTTTATTTGCGATAAATTATTATTTAGTGGGGTATCCTTTTGAGTTAATAGCTGCTTGACAACGACGGCCCATTGACGAGATCAATTTTTGGCATTGTTCAGGCGTAATGGCGTCCCAAGCAGCTATTTTTTCGATCCAAATTTGGCCTAAATTTGCATCAGTTAATTGATTATGTTTCTGCCAACATCATTCCACAAAGTTTCTATCGAATTTAGGTTTGATGACTGTGCAGACCTCTCCAAAAAATCATTCTTGTAAGCAGGGGTGTGGAGTCGTAAAAAAAAAGTAACGACTCCGACTCCAGTTGTTTAAATTTTTTGAGTACAACTCCTACTCCGACTCCAACTCCAAAGCAAAATTTTTGAAAAATTCTTTAAATTCTTTAAAAAATATTGCCCGGTAAGTTGAAGTTTTTTTTTTGACAAATTTATGAAACATTCTTTGATGTTTAGTATGAACATAAGGTTAATTGAATGTTTTGTACATGCACGTGCAATACCAAGAAATTTTACTATCGGAGTCGGAGTAGCGATAATTTTTAGCGACTCCGACTCCGGTAAAATTGTCGCAACTCCGTGACTCCGACTCCGACTTCACAGCCCTGCTTGTAAGTGTTATACCACATTTTAACACTTTAAGCGGTGTGTTTGGGTAGTTGTCTTGTTCGAATTTCCAAACCAAAGAAAGATTTTCCTCGGCATAAGGTATAATGACGTTTTCTAGTATTTCTTTGTACATGTGTTGATGCATTGCCCTATGAATTTTATTCAACGTGCCCACGCCATACCATAAAAAACTGCCCCAAACGATCACCTTGTCACCACTATGTTTTACAGTCTTTAGAGTATACCGAGTTCTTGGTTTTGGGGATGAAAAACATATTGTTTAGTTGAAAGAATATGATTTTTGCAAAATAAATATCAAGTTTATCCTTAAAATCAGTCACTGCATTTTCAAGGTGTGGCTTTATAAACACTTTATATAATTTGAGAGCCATTTTTTCATCAATGATGATAAATGTACATAGAATTTGTAAACATTTGGAAATAACTGATTAAATATGAGTGCTCCACTTGACGTTAGATTTAAAAATCACTCCTAAATCGCGCCAATTAGTAGAGCTTTTTAGACATTAATTTATACCTTAGTTAATTTCCAAAAAGTATTGATATATAGAATTCATTTTATCGTATTGGATGACACATCATTTTGAAATGTTTAATTTAAGTAACCAAGTGTTTGATCTCTTGTATATTAGCCGGAGAAGATCCTACAGATCAATGAAATTAGTTTTTATTTTTTTATTTTTTTTTTATTTAGGTGCCCCAAGAAGACCTAACGCTCTTGTCACAGAGCACCACGGAATTGGATTTAAACAGGAAGTTCACGCCTTCTTCCTTACCGTTACGCGAAAATATGTCCAGAGCTCGTTTCCAGCCTGGATCTTCTGCTTATAAAGCAAGCGCTGTAATCACTACGCCACAGACCGAACTAAAAATTAGTCTACGATAAAGTTTTAGAAAAGAATTTATTTGTCGGCAAATATTTTAGAAGTTTCAGTATGTTGGGCTAGATTGTTTATTCCGAATGATTTTAATTTTAACATAAGTCTAGTGTGAGGTACAATATCAAAAGATTTAGCAAACTCAAGGTAAATTACATCTATAAACTGGTGCGATGCAAGGAAAGAAGAAAAAATATCAAAAGTCTCTATTAGATTGGTTATGCAAGATTTATAATGAAGGAAGCCATGTTGATTTGTAGAGAGCAGTTATCGTTGATGTGCTTCAAAATTTTATTCTTCAGAACCTTTTCAACAAATTTTCACGCAACCGAGGTTAATAAAATAGGTCGATAGTTTCAGGAAGCAGTTTGTCTCCCTTTTTTATATGGACCGGACTAATATTTCCTCACTTCCAGAGAGTTAGTACTGTTCCGGAATTGCAAAGTTTTTTGCACATATCTTAAATATTAAAGGGTGCAAACCGTCAGGTCAGAAACGATTTGTAAGGGTTTAGATTGGTAAGTTCATTAATAATGTCTGCAATTCAAAAAAATAAATTCAAACTGTTATCATAATTGCATTTAGGTTTAACTTCACTTTTATTTAACAATGGAAAATTTTCGGAGCTTTCAAGAGTAAACATAGATTTGAATTAAGAGTTCAGACTTTCAAGTATATCGGGAAGAGTTTCAAAAATTTCCGCTGAAGCATTTTTGAGAGAAGAAATTTAATCTTTAATATTTAGTTGGTTGATTTCTTTTTCATGTAATATTTTTGCTTTAAATGTTTCAACTTTAACGGAACGATTTAGACAATTGTAATTTATTTTAAGATCTTTATTCTTCCATTTATATATATTAACAATTCTATATATATATATTAAATGCTAATAATACACCAGTGCCAATCCACTGCTTCGTAAGCTTGGAGTGCTGAATGTTTACCAATTAAATATTTATAATATTCTTTTATTCATGTTTAGATTAAAATATCATATGCTACCTAATATTTTTGAAGATCTTTTCTTTATTGTAGATTATAAATATCAAACAAAGCATTCATTGCTTAATTATCAGGTACCAAAAATTTTGTTAAAACAATCTGAATTCTCAATAACTTACTGAGGGCCTCAATTTTGGAACTCGTTTCTCCCAAATAATAGTAAAACTGCAACTTCAATCCGAACTTTTAAAAGTATCTTAAAAAAACAGTTACTTGATTATGACGTATCTCAAATACTATTTTATATTTAATTTTTATTTTGTTCTCTCTTGTTTTTTATTTCTTTAACTTTTCTTTTTGTTAAAAAGCAACATCACACTTTATATCATTACTTATCTTTATATTTGTATTGTATTGTATATATATGTATTTGTGTGTATGTGTGTGTATATATATATATATATATATATATATATATATATATATATATATATATATATATATATATATATATATATATATATATATATATATATATATATATATATATATATATATATATATATATACATGTATATATATATATATATATATATATATATATATATATATGTATTTTCTTATATGATGGATAATTTTTTCTTTGTTTGGTATGTAAATGATATAACGGGGCTGGGTGATAAGACTTTCGTCTTCTGCCTGCTCCTCTCATATCTTAACTCAAAATGAATATGTTGTAAATAATTTTTTATAACGATAACGAAAATAAAAAAATAAAAAAAAAATTTAGTTGAGCAGCTGATATGCCAATTTTTTTGCTCAGATTAAGCTTTTAGTATGTGGAGACTGAAGGATACTTATTCGTTGTTTTTTAATCTTTTTTATAAAAAAATTCGCTAAAGATTACCTTTTTATTTACAGAGGAACTTATCTTGCTTTTACATTGGCAAAATCAACTAAGACATTTTGAAAATTTATATTTCTTTACAGGGTTCTTTTAATTGGGAAAAACTGATTCTAACTTATTCCTACGAATTGCTTGTAAACATTCTGACATATTCTTCTCTTTTGCCATGAACTTAGAAAACAGGATAATTTTATCAGGAAATTTTGTATCTAAGTCTGAAGAATAAATAGTACATAAGGATTTGGCAGCAGCAACAATGATAGGAACGATCATGGTCTGAAAACTAGTTAGAAGGCCAAACTCTGCATACTCGTAAGCGAAAAGCGTCTCTTTTAAGCACATTTTCAACTTGTCTATAATTTAAAAAAAAAATTATTTTAAATTTGTAACTTCCCTTCATTCTGGCTATTTTCACTAAATCCTAATTTGCGCGTATTCTTTCTTGAATTTTTATGCTTGTACTGATTAGAAAAAATGCTTTGGAACCTTCTAGCACTTTCTTGAATGTCGAGAAAATTTTCACAAACTGATGTCCAAAAGAGATTTAAGCAATCGAACACCAAGCGCCAAGTCTGCAGTTTTATCCTGAAGTTTTATACTATGAGCATCGAATTGTAACATTATTTTGTGCAATAGCTCCGTCATAAAAGCAATATCCAAAGTTTTCATTTTTTTAAAAGGGCAGTAGCTTCTTTTTGTGTCTGACGTTTTTTTATTTTTATCCAAAACAATTGATTCTAATGTCTCAAGAATATGATTAAAATTTGAATGTGAAACTTTAGTAAAAATGGCTCTTGCTGACTACTTTGTCCCACTCAGGCTTTTAATTGCAACTTTCCTGTTCTATCCAGCACCACTTACAAGACTTGAACAAACTATCCGCAATCTGTGAGTTGAAAAAGTATATAAATTGTATAGGCATTGGAAAAACCCAAAGAAATAAGATGCAGCCTCACAGCTGTCAACAGCATTTACGCAAGCTAAATTTAGAGAATGTCCTGCACAAGGAATAAATTCAATGTTTGGGTTCTCATTTTTTAGTAGTGCTTGCAAGCTTTTGTATTTTCCTGACATATAGATAGATACATTGTTAGATACATTGTCGTATAACTGACCATGAGCATTGTTAATGTTTAAGCCAAGCTCATCTAATTTTCCGCTATGTCCACATAAAGATTCAAACGCAATAAACCTTTCATCAACAACAGCTTCCTCGCTCACGTATCAAATGATTATTGCAGATGGTGACTGTGCAGAGTCACTTGATGCGTCAACAATCAGTAAAAAGTTTTTAGCACTTTCAATTTTGCTACCAATAGAAGCCAGAACTTTTTTTGCAATTAAAAAGACAATTTCCTCATAACTTATTGATGAAATGTATAAAACATTTCTTCTGCCCTGATATCCTCGGTTTTCTAAGTGTTTAGCAAGAAATGGGTCAAACTTTGCTAAGAATTCCAAGACCCTAAGAAAATTTCCATTACTGAAGTCACCTATTTCTTCTGAATCACTTTAAGAGCTAGAACTCGACTGCACAAAAACTTCAAGCATTCAACAACTCTTTTTAGAACTTCCCTCCAGTAACGCTTTTTATCCTCCAACTGATGTTTTAAATTTCCGTTTAGATATTTTCTGTCAATTCTTGTCAAATTATTGCAAAAATAATATTGTAATCTTAATTTATAATTCTTTAGTGGTGAAAAAAAAGAACAAGTAAAAAAACTAATATTTCAAAAAATATATAAAATATTTATCAACACATATTTACCAATAAATATAAGTAAATAAAAAAAATTAACAACTATTAATTTAAGTGATATTATTTGTTCTCAAATAAAAAAAAAGTTAAAATCAAAATGTAGTCAATTCGATTTCTTAATAAATAATTAAACATATTTAACTTGTATCTTTTTTATTTCACTTTTTCAAGTAAGTAAAAAAAGATAACAATTGTTCAAACTTTCTTCCAATATGTTCCAGTTCAAACTTTTTTAAGTAAAGTTTCAAGTTTTTATTTTTAATAACATGAGAAATTAATGAAATTAATTTGATTAGAAATTATCGAAATTAATTTCATTAAAAATTAATGAAAATGATTTAGATGTCAAGTCATGTGGTACCCTAATTTTTGGGGGCCGGGCACCAAGGCTCCCAGCAACCCAGGTTGTTGTAAATAATCTGGGATTTGCTGGTTTGCTGGTAGCCTTGGTGCCCGGCCCACTAAACAATTTTAATTCGTTTTCAGGAAGCGGTTCTAAACTAAGATTCTCGAAGTAATACTAAAGCAACCCTCAGTGTTATTACATAGTATAGCATTAGAAGACAAATTTAAAATAGAATTATTGTTGTAAGTAAATAATAAGTCCAACATAATTTTTGGGGAACCATAGGTTGTTTGAAAAGTAGGGAACGTGATGTGTAAAGAGGTTGTTTTGGTAAATGTTTCAAAATTCATACTCGTTATATTTGGGAAATTAAAATCACCAAAGATCAAACAGTCATCCTAGGGTAGGGCTGCCATTGGTCTTTTTTTCCCTTAGTTAGGAAGCCCTACGATAGGACAATGGCAGTCCTATCGTAGGACTTCCTAATTAAGCGATGAGCTAATAATAACATCCATGTTGTTGGTGTAAAATTGAATCTTCAAAACTCGCTGCATGTAGAAATATGGAATGCCAAAACTTTCTTCAATGCTGCTCATCCTCTTTTTTTTTCCTTTTCCTATCTTATCAGTTGTTTTGAAAATATTTCCTTCCATGGAAGTTCATTTACTTTTTGGTGTGATTAATCACATTGTGAATAACCTGGTACAGAAATAGCTGAAAGCCATGGATTGGCTTCAAGACATACACATCCCAAGACAAAGTATTTACCAAATCAAGGCGAACTGAATCATCCTCTAAATATTTGATAAAATCTTCGTATTCTGCTATAGTCTCTAATTGCTTAACTGCCAAATTACTATGGGGTTGTTTATTTACCGCAATAATAAGCTCCTGGTTTTTAAGAATTTTTGATACCATCTTGAACATCATATGCTGGTATTCTGAATTATACAATATATATATATATATATATATATATATATATATATATATATATATATATATATATATATATATATATATATATATATATATATATATATATATATATAAATATAAATATATAAATATATATATATATATATATATATATATATATATATATATATATATATATATATATATATATATATATATATATATATATATATATATATATATATATAGGAAAAAAATTTTTATACCATTTCAAAATGACTAACAACTATTGTTTTTTGTCTCAAAATCATTCTTAAAATAAATAAAATGTGTGCACAGTCTCCCCATTTTATTGCAAATAAAAAATAAATTAAATGGTTAGACGAGCTTACTTCCAACTTCCATAGGAAACTGATTTTTAACTAACTTTTCTGGTCCAAGGGCTTCAATCGTAGTTTTTTTTGTTCTTCTTCTTTTGTTTTCTTTTTTTTGAACTCTTGAGTATGAGGTAAAACTAATTCCAACAAAAGAATTGAAATAAAAGAAAAAATTTCAAACAATATTTTTTAGATGTAAAATAATTATCAAAGACAGTGTACCTGTAAAAAAATTTGATCGTTCCTTTTCAGTTGATTCTGAAGGTTAAAAGAAGTTAGGCAAAGCTAAAATTAACAACAAAATAATATTTCAACTTTAATAAACAACTTTAACTATTAAATTTAAAAATAATACTAACACAGTGACTCAGAATACGAAGTTGATTGTTCCTCTGTATGTAAAGGTAAAGAGTGAGGCAAAGCTAAAAATAAGAATCCAGAAATATTTTAGATTGAAGGTGTTGCAAATTGAATTAATTCTAAATTTTAATAATTTAAAATTATTAGACACCAGAACAAATACTTGATTGTTTTAAAATATTAAATCCAGGTGACAAATTAAAATCAAATGATCTCTTTAATGATTTTGTTGGTATGGATTGCAAAACTAGTGGAAGCAACAGAAATTCTGGTAACTCTAAAATATAATATTCATATAATTAATTTATTTTATTGTATTTACACTTCATATTAAAAATAAACTGTAAGCAAATTTTTAATTATACCATAAACATTACTTTTCACTTTAAATGCGCCTTTGGAACTCGTAAAACAATGATCTATTTCATCCTCCTCCTCTGCTGCTGTTGTGTAAACATATTCTTTTAGCTCATTTATATCATCTAAAAGAACAATAACTCTTATAAAATAAATATAAATATCAGATATTTTTCCCGTACATCATATATTAATTCTAAAGAGTTCTTTAATAGTACTTATATAGTTTATTCAGGTATATATATATATATATATATATATATATATATATATATATATATATATATATATATATATATATATATATATATATATATATATATATATATATATATTATATTGTATGATATTTTGTATTTGCAATAAAATAAAAAAAACTCTTGAACGTATAAGAGTGCTCAATAATAAATAAATAGGATTTATTTATATTATTTAATAGAGCATTATATTAATTTATAAAAATAAAGAAAACAACTTTTTATGGTACTAATAGTTTCATGCTTAAAGGCAATCATCAGCCATGTAATACAAAACAAGAAACAAAAAAAACAACGTTAAAATATAAAGTTACAGTGGAGTGTGCTCCGTCGTCAAAACAAAACAAAAACAAAAAACTAAAAACGGCTGCCTAATCACCCGTATCGAAATTCGAAAGGAGAAACTTGCTTTTATGTCTACATTTAGATACTAATTCATTCCTCTTATTTAATAAGTTATCATAGGTGTACGATGTTATGAAATACTTTTCGTATAGACATAAGTTGCATCGTTTTATTGTGGGATTGTAAGATCTACAACGTTTTAAAATTTTCCATTTAATTGTCGGGTTTAATAATCCATTTTCTTTTAACTTCCATACTTCCTTAGACAACTCAGTATCGTTTTTATATTTTTCGATCTTAAAAGATTTTGTATGATTAGCGTATCTAAGTTTAAAAGCAGTTTCACTAACTCCAAAATACACTTTTTCAATCCCGTCTGGAGTGCCTGGATATATAGTGGCTTGATACACTATGTTATTAACGAGACACTGTTGATTTAAAGGGCACTTGCTTTTAGTAATACAATTGCAACTTTTATCTGATTCTGGGGGGATGCTTTTCATAATATGACGGTTATGAAAGTTAACGATTGATTTAATGTTTGGCATACAACTGTAACTCAGCTTTAGAGTATTTCTATTAAAAATCTTGCGGTATTTACGTCCAACTGGAAAGTGCTTGTCAATTAAATCCAAAAAGATTTTACCAATTTTAGTAGAAACATTTTTACTATATGGGGGGTTAAACCAGATTATATTGCGCTTACGGTTTTTTGGTAGAGGTTGAATGAGTTTTGGAATATAATTAAGTTTAAATTTGTAACCAGACTTTTTTCATGCATCCTGATACAAATGAGCAGAGCTTCGAAAGCTAGCGTCATTAGATGAATTAGCTGACAACCTTAATTCTATAGAACGAGGAAGTTGC